CTCGGACCTTGCATGCCTTAGAGTGCCATCGGGGTAATATTAGGTAGGTGCCATTGCAGCCTGATTCTTAGTCCAACAATCGCCCGCTCCACATAAATCCAACGGGCTGGCAGGAGGGTCCGAATTTAAATCATCCGTTTTGTTCTTCCAAGCCACGGCTCTTAGCGCACCATGAAGGTCGTAAGCGCGTCAGGTTGTTTATAGTGAGGAATTATGCGCCACAAATAGACGTCACTAATTCTAACCTTTCCCGTTCACCAGTCGACCGTTCAAACCGATCAACCAACTGATGCAGTGATTGGAGGCACTGACTCAAAAGGCCAAATATAACCCGTCTGTGTGTGCCACACGCTCGACCTAGCCGCTGTGCAACGTACCAATGGCGATGGATTCGTAAGTAAACAACCGGTCCGGCATGCGATGTCCATGTCCGAGAGCAACGTGGACAGGGTGTTTTGCTGAGTCAGTTGTCTTCGTTGTGGGTGTTATGGCGGAAGTGGGAGAGGTGGCGGGGGTCGACGGCGTCAACTAAGACGGCGGGACATCAGGAGTGTGATCACCGGTGGCAATGATGGTTGTCGGTTTCGCAGACACGGCGTGAGCTGATGAAGGGACAACGATTAGGGCGTTTGAGGAGGCAGCAGTTGGAGTTGAAGGGTTGCTCTTCCATTGCGTCTGGAGATGTCCGGCGAGGCCGGTCCGTGTGTAGAATGTTCGTTGGGAGCGTGAGCATGTTGAAAGGAGTCAGGTGTGGGGGTTATGGATCGGAGGCACTCAAGACTTCCCGGCCGCTCTTTTGACTTTAACAGCGGAGATATGGTTGACTTCGTAGATTGCTGCCCCAGTCTTCATACCTCTCCTTCAGGCCGATCAACCCCAGGTCTCCGGATTGATTTGTAGGTGCTCGAGAAAGTTATTCAATGTGTCCTTGCGGCGTATTTCTGTCCTCACCAAGAGCACCCGCAGCAGCACGCCGTAGACACACTTATGTTACCTCAAGCAAATGCTTTGTTGGATTTCGCGCCCCCCTATTACCCCTGTGGGCTGTTGTTCGTCCCCGCTTAGGGATACTAAGCCGGCGTTGTTGTCGATCGAAGTGAATCGACGAGTTTCAGAAGACAGTTCAGAAGATGTGATTACAGGAACAAGAAGCTTATGAGCCTGACGTTCCAGACTCACTCGAACACGTCATCAGAGATAGTTGCACATAGGGATAATGGAGGCACATTCGACAGGACATGCCCACATGTTCGAGTTGGACAAGTCGAAATTCTCGCAAGAGGTGACGGCCGCGTGAGCCGCGAACTGCTGATCAATGCTGCCTGGGCAAAGAAATTCGTCACGCGGAGGGCGTACACGGGCAACACTTCCACTGACAGAGAGCCAGACTGTCGAGTAATCATCATGTCCAGAATCAACAATAGTGATGAAGTCACGACTGTCAGCGACTCAGATGCGGACTACCAAGCAATCATCGCATTAAAATACGATCTCCAACGATGAATGCGAGTGTTGATAATAATAATAATGGGTGCGCGGTTTCATGACAACAACGTCCTATAAATGCTATGTTCCTTGTGTCTCACTTTCCTCTATCTGCGTCCGTCTCTGGTGATGAGCCCCAGTGAGAATACGAACCGTCAGGCCAATAAATTTGTTTCAGCGACCACATCCTCCCAACGTTGTCACGCGCTGCAGCGATAGCTGATAGTAAGTGCAGCTCCTCTGCCTATCTACGCCAGAACCATGCGTATAGCAGTCGTTCAGGCCTGACAACAGAACATGAATTTGCCTGCGGGACTAAGGTGTAATCATGCAAACGCGCGTGTGTGCTCACACGACCGCTCTCTGTGCGCACTCGCTTCGTCGGTCCGACCCACTAAGCATGCCGCAGTCTTGGGATACCTCCCCTGTGCCGGGTTCCTGGGTTTCCTTTTAGCCTTTGCTGCCGATCGTCTATAGATAACCAGCAACAAATCAGATTTTCTGTCAGTCGCATTCGTTACAACATAAGTCTCTACTCAAATCATCTGTCAATTCCACCTCCAACTTCTTCATTGCGACTTCGAGGCGCTCATGCTGAATTCCAGTAAACTCTCGCATTGGTGCCCGGGAGTTTGGCCACACGATATTCTCCAAGACCGCTTCGAGTGCATTTTTACAGTGGTCAGTGGAGTAGCCGAATTCCGGCTATGGGACGACCTTAGGCGGCCACAAAGGACCTATCGAAAGGTTAGCTTCTACAGCTTTTATATCGAAAATGCATTTCATTTGTCACCGCGTCATTCCATCTTCCGGTATCCCAATAATTATCCTCCGTACTCAAACTAAAACTAAGATAAAATTCCAGTTAGCTCTTAGCGTCAAGGGACTCTAGGCCTTTTCACTAATTTACCCCCTCACAAGCAGACGCTCAGGTTGTGAACGAATCCACAGAAGACGACCATGGCGGATCTCCAGACTTGGTCGTACCGCAGGCCAGCATCTTCGAAGTCGATGAAGGTATTTGAGTTTTTGGAGCAGACCGCCTACGTAGTTATAAATCCACTCTGTAGGTCCGAAACGGAGGAAGCAACAGTCTCCCATTGCTACATGTCTGTGATCTACTATTTCATATGGGAAGCTTGATCAGAGCGAGCTGCCGGAACCTTAGCTGTTGGGCGCCTGGAACCATTTCTCGGAAGCAAACAGGCGCTATTAGCAATACAAGACATCGGCTACTCTCGTTTCCTTCCCAGAGTTTTGGCCAGATATTTCATTAACCCACCACGATCAATTACGAGTTCAAATGGCCGATCACTCGCTAAATAATTGCGACTTGCATCCTAGGTTGCGTCAGGGGGCGCGTGCCGCTTGGGAAAACTCGAAAAACCGACTTCGACTTCCTCATCTTGAAGCAAAGCCGCAACTGCCAGACACAATGCGACACTAGGTGGACCCGTGCAAATACTAGCGAACACTCAACACCAGGCTGCGTCCACTCTCTCGGAATACGCTTTGAGTGAGGCCGTTGGATAGAACGACTAGCTGGAATACGAACGACTAGTCTACCGAAGTAGTTATCGTGGCTTCCTCAGCGCCTGCTAAATCTCAAGTATCTGGGAGGAAAGCTGCTCGAAAGATCTAGCTTTGTATAAAAGTGCCAGGAAAATCTACCAAGCAGAACCCAACTGCTGGAAAAATCTCACCTAGCGTTCAAGATGAGGGCTAGAACCGCTCGGAGACAGCTCGAAATAAGGCCGCTGTTAAAAGCAGAAACGTTCATCCTCGTCGTATAATCAAGGCGGATTAGCGCGCGTCTTCAACCTACGGAGAATCCTTTCAAAAAACTGAGCTTTTGTGACGGCAATCCGCCACCGAACGGAGCGAAGTGGATTGGAGTCCCGTATTAAGGTGCTCACAGGCTACAAAGACAGCGGGCGCGGAGCAGATGCTGCCCACTGGCAATTGTAAGCGACTGTATGACTGAGATCTGGCTGACCTAGAAGTGGACTGATTAGTCCTAGGATGGACACAGATGTCGGCAAAGCTTTCTCGTAGACCATCGCAGTATGCGTCAAAGTCAGAAAACTCGGGACCCCCACGCGGAGGACCCGACGGCTACCTCCATGGCGTCATGATTGAGATGGTCGCTTTCCAGTGCTTACACAGGGACGCAGAATACCTGAGGCAAAACAGGCCCTATTTTTAAATGGGTGAGCACACGCCACGTCGACCGAAATTCCCATTGACCAGTGGCGGAGCTGGATCCACCGACACCGAGAACGCCGATACGGTGCGGACCAATCGTGCGTGCAACCCTCTGAGGACCGAACAAAGCAATCAATGCGTTGTGATAACGCACGATTGACACCTACACCGCCACTGTGGGCATACATCCTAGGGCAAAAAAGACGTCTCCGACCCCTTTCCATCATCAAGTTGGCAGCTTTATTATTGGGTATTACTGTGGAGGATCGACTGCGTTTGGTCTTTGAACGAGCGCTGATATGACTTACACAGGAATTTGATGGCTCGACACAACCAGAGCATTACATATTGTTCTTTGTATATCTGCATCAGAAGCGGAGTACACCGACTGAGGGATTTCAAACCATCGGTCATCCACAAACGCGACGTACAAGCGGTGTGAAAGTTGAGGAGAAGGTTCTGTCCTTAGCAGACTCCCCCTTTCCCCATATCCGACTGCTTGATAGTTCGGATAGGGCAAACACACCTCGTCCCGATGGGCGTCTGTCCTGGCAGCGATTACATTTCAAAGGCATCTCGAGCTGTCCAGGAATGGCTGCTGGGGCGCCTCGATATGCTCTTTGCTGCCCGTCCCACTGACTGATTGCCGACCCCAATTTCGACCGCTAAAGCCAACAGCGACTGGCGTTTTTGCAGTGGCATTCAAGGCATAAACGCTTTCGTAAGTCGAGTCGCTGGCCTGCTTGTCCTCTCATGTCATCCACATAGTCCGTATGCGTATATTAAGCTGGTCTAAGACCACATTACTTGCAGCGAGCGTCAAAAGGGGAGCGCCACCCTCATTCATCCATTGTGCGACTATTTACCGCAGCCACGAGAGGAGGGCAGACGACCTCCCCGATGCACAATACGTACGCAGAGACCATACCTGATGACATACAGTAATTTTCTCCTCTGTAGTGATTTATGGAAATAAACAGAGTAACTGGCATGTGTCGCCCATAATCAAGCCGAAACATCTACGAAAGTTAGTGGGAAAACCCTAGATTGAGGCCCAATGCTCACGCATACTTAAGATTCTAGAAAACCACGGCAAAGGCGCTTACTTGTTAGCGGACGATGGTCAGAACGAAATGTTATGAAAGTCAGACTCAACTTGGAGAGTAACTCTACACTATGTGACCTAAGATATCGCCAATCCTGGAATTTTGGGGGCTGTCGCGAGGAGGCGCCCAACGACGGTTTTTAATCCACAAAGGCCGGTTAAGAAGTCGGTCCAACCGTTACAAAGGACCATGTATTGTGACAAACTAGCCGAGCTTAATCTTCAATTCCTTGGCCTTCGCTCTCTCCAGCTTTGCCACGCGGGCCAAAGACTTCGATCCCATGACGCCACCGCCCCAGTGTTTACGGATCTAGGAGAGAAGTTAGAGGTGTAAAAAAAATAAACATGAGTACTTCGTCATGACGATCGTTGAAGTTGGTCTTCACGGTTTGAACGATCTTTGCGAGCCGGGGTTTGTCCTCACTACGGAAGCGCGTTACGTACAAGTTAAAGCTTACGTTCGGACACCAGTGAAAGCTAAACAGGTGCAGGTCTTGCGCCGGACTACGCGTCCAAGCCTGGCCTTGCCCTTAACGATGGCATAAGGGACACCCATTTTTCGGCAAAGGGCAGGAAGGAATAGGACGATCTCAATCGGATCAACATCATGGGCAACCAACACAAGCTGGGCCTTCTTTTGCATAATCGAAGCAGTGACTTCGCGAACGCCTGACTTAAGGACAGCTTTTCGAGCAGTTGGGGCATCAGGAGCACCGTCAGCTCGCTTCTGGGCACGATGTGTCAACTGGGCCTTCTTTGACTGCTTGCTCTGGGGCTTGTATTTGTTGCACAAATTAAAAACCTGGAGAGCTGAAAACAAGAGGTAAGAGACAAGACGACGTACAGGTTGCGCGATCAAGAGCCTCGTTAAACTGATTGATCGGCGGCGGAATCTTCAATCGTTTCTTGAGGATGGCCTTTTGCCGTTGAAGCAAGACGTACTTCGGCCATTTAACGAAACGATAGACATTTCTACGCGGTTGGATGGCCTGTCCGATGCCAAAATTCCTTGGCCTCTTCTGAATTAGAGGATTCTTCTTTATAGCCTTCTTAATTTCAGCCACCGTCTTTTTCTTGGCAATCTCGGGCAGAGCTGCGACTTTTGATTTGCCTTTGCCCTTCCCTTCCTTTGTCGGCAAGGTAGGAACATCCTGCGTCTTGATCTCCTTTATCTTTTTGGCCTTGATAACCTTCTTCTGACCTACGGGCTGTTATACCCGAAAAAAGTCAAGTTCACCGAGAGTCAGCTTACCATGCTTGCGGCCTCGAATAACCCGCTGATAAAAGTGTTTAAACGGACTGCATAAATACCCGATGATCACAAATTAGAACACACCCTGGACAAGACAGCGCATTGCATTGAACCACCCTTTTGAACCACTATTTTTTCAGACAAATTAAGATACTTATGCCGATTACAGGGGGAAACTTGTTGCTTACCGACAAATTATAACGAACCACTTAGCAGAACAAGTGCGGACGGTTGAAACCTCAGATAACGCAGGTTAAATTTTATTCAGTCGCATCACTGTTTTCGTGCTTCATGAGCCAAAACTATAATCTTGGAAATGCATGGAGTTTAAGGATAAATGATGTTAAATAAACGACGGTTTAGGATTCAACAAGAAGTAACAAGTCGCGCCGTTTAGAAAATGTTTTCTTTTGTCCGCGAAGCTGGCTTGATTACCTAGTCGAATTACGGTACATTAGTCTAAGTTTTATAACACACGTCAATAAGTGGTCTAATCGTTGGCTTTAAAGATTCTACCAACAGAATAAACTATTTTTAACACGGTCGGGTCAACCAATTCCACCAAAGCTTGTATTCAAATATATGGAACAAACACGTCTGCCGTTGAATAGGCAACTAGTATTCCTGATTACCCCCTCCCCGCGAACCGTTTTTGCAACGAGATTTCTGACTAACCCAGCGGAAAAATGGAGAGAACTTTAAGACGAACACCTCAGAAGATCCGCCTCATGCGGGAAAACTCTAAGAATACTGAGCGGGAAAATCACACATACTCGGAAGTCATTCTTCTAGATTCAGCCCATAACACTGAGTACGGAGGACAAGGACGAAATATCATTCTCTGAATAGACTAACGTAAACTGATCTTAGAAGCGCTAATTTTTACTGAGTCTTTTGGCGAAAGTGGCGAAAAACACACTGGTGTCCAGTTCGACCAAAAACCAGCAGACTGGAACTCGGACAGCAGGACAGATTAGCCACATAGAATATGCAGCAACCTCGATCCAAATATCGTTCGAAAATCTGCCAGATTAAGAGTCCGCTCTGTTTGTACCAAAGCGCAGAATCTTTCCCAGAAAACAGAATAGTTAAGAATATTGATATCGGGTATTGTGCTGAATGTCATTTTCATCAGAGAAACTTGGTTACAGCCCGAAGTAATGGATGGCTAAATTGCTAGCAATGGGTCCCACACCTTTCGTGAAGACCGACTGTCTACGAAGTGGACTAGCGACCTACCTCAAGATAGGAACTATCGCATCAACGCGCATGATTGTTTGCTCACGCGACTGTTAGAAAAGTGCTTAAAACTATGGATGCGTTGGACACAAAATCTGGATTTCCTAATAGTATACATGAAGTTGTTCGGAAAATATGCCGTTTCAGTGGAGCCAGCCAGTAATACTAAGAACGACGGCAGCTACTCAGCTAACACAGACACCTTCGTGGAACTAGCCGCTCGAGGCGACAACACAAGTAAGCACTTAATGCCCACTGTTAGACCGAGGTAACGGACATTAATGAAACCCATTAAGCGTCCTAGATAACGCAGAAATGCTCACAACAGTGACAAATGCAGCTGATAATTCGGCTGGAACAAAGTTGAGACGCTTGTATACAAATGCCCAAGACCTCATATCGAAAATAAACGAGCTAAACTTTTGCCTTGTCGAACTGTCTCCGGATGTCTTAGCAGTAACCTAAACCTGGCTGACTGGGAATATTAGTGATAGCGAATAACCTTGACTGGGTATCAAATTTATCGGAGGGACAGGGAAGGTCATCAAGGAGGTGGTATAGTTGTGTATGTGAAGGAAGACCTGTCGGTCTCGGTAAATACCACCAAGTTTGCGTGCAGCACGGAAGCTATTTGGTTAATCATCAAGGCAACTGGTTCCCCGTGTCTCAGTGTCTTCACTGTCTACCGACCACCCAAGACCGACCAAATCGCTGAACTATCTTTTGGAGCAGTTAGAGAAATATTTCAGTCAACCTAACATCATGGTCATGGGTGACTTCAACGCACCAGGAATAAACTGGAACAACCCCCAAGCGTCAGGTTCAAAATCGACATTTGACTACGGCTCGCTGAACGAAGCATTAAAGGCACTTATAATACAGCATGTAATGTTTCCAACGAGAACACGTGAAGGACAAAGTGAAAACTGCCCGGATTTAGTTTTTACGAAAGCACTATACAGCATAGGCGAGGTCACCTCCATGCCGCCCCTCGGCCGAAGTGACCATGTGGTGCTTATGTGGGATTATTTGTCCTTCTCCATTTTAATTAGTCCAGACTAAAAAGACGCAACATTTGGCTAGGTGATTTCGATGAAATGAGGGCAGACTTATCCGGTCTCGACTGGAGCTCAACGTTTGCGGTTAATGCTAACGACGACTGGGAGTTGCCCAAGAATGTCCTTCTGCAGCTCATCAACAACCACTGCCCACTGACGAGTACAAGACAGAACAAGTAGCCAGGGTGGATAAATAGCAACCCGAAGAAAGAAACTGACAGGAGGCAAACATTGTGGAGAAAATGCTGCATCACTGGACAAGTTGAGTATTTCAATATCTACAAGACACAGAGAAATAAACTGAGAAGCATGCTTATAAAGACGCGCCGAGAATCCAAGAAGAATTTTCTGCAAAAAGCTACACAGAACCCAAAAATAACTCTACAGCTACCTCAGAAGAAGTACAAGGAACAGGCACACAATCCTCATGATAAGGACAACTGATGGCGTCGAGATTGCTGATAACAGGGTGAATGCTGCGTATTTTTCGCAGTTTCTCCAACCAGTCTACGCAAAGGAGGCAAGATTCCTTCCTCAATCCACCGAAGAACTGTCGACTCCAAGCATAAGTAACACACTCTTTTCAGAAGTTATTGTTTGAAGAGAATCGGAGGCATTGAACGAATCGAAGTCGTCAGGACTTGAAGAGATTCTGCCCAAGTTTCTCAGAGAAGTTTCCAATGAGCTTTGTGTGCCTTTTCGGTGCTCTTCCAAGCGTCGTTTGACACTGGAACACTTCCTATCGATTGGAATCTGGTCCTATCGAGAGTTCGGTCGTCGGTTTCGACGATGTCCACCGTGTGCCCCACAGGTAGTTCGAGCAGGCACAGTGACTTGTGCATGGTTTAGTTTATAGTGAACGTAGACTTTCTCAGCATCCACCGCACTCTCTCCTTCTCTCGCACCTGCACCCGGTGTCAAGACAGAGTCAAGAATACTGCAGACGGGCGAGGGCGCGGACGGATGGTACGGTTGAACCCGCACCTTGGCGCCGCACGCACACCCCCTGGTCCATACAATGAATAACCAGGTTTCTGACCAACAAAAAAGAATGGAGGCTGGCACAGCCGAAGCTGCCCCCAGGCGCGCCGTCCCACCCGGCTCGGATCCCACGGAGTGGGAGTGACACAAATGCCACATTAAGTAGGAAGCATTGCAGCCTGACTCTCAGGATACCAGCAGGCCACTCCACATAAACGCTCAACACTAGGCCGACTGCGAGGTCTAGGTTTTTCCGTCAGTTGACAGAATTCCAAGCCAGATATATAGCGCACCGTGATGGCTTTCAGCGCGTAGGATTGTTTATAGTGGGGAAAACGCAATGAGTCGTCGACCTCCCACTCTTTCCATTCCCAGGACTCGGTCACTGTCCGAGTCGGTCGGTCGACAGGTGCGGGGAATAGGCACGGTGGCTGACATGGTCTAGGGACACTTTCTGTGAGCGCCACATGCACGACCTGGTTCCCTAAACACAAGCAAAAGGATTCCACACAACGGGGTTGAGCGGCGTGCATCTCACATGTGTGAGAGTGTCGTGGCGACGTATGGAAGGAGCTGTCTCAGCCTATCTCTTAACCCATTAATCCGCCACACCACACACACACACACACACACACACACACGACAGTTCGACCATCGATTTCGATGATGTCCACCGTGTGCCACACAGACTGCATTGTAGAGCAGGGACGCTGACTTACGCAGGGGTTTATGGTGTCAGTAGACTTGCGCCGCATCTACCTACATTCTCTCCTCCTCCCCCGCCTGAGCCCGGTGTCAAGACAAAGTCAAGAAGACCGGAGACGAGAGAGGCCGCAGGTGGATGGCTCGGACGGATCCTCACCTAGGCGTTCTACCACACCCCCTGGTCCACACAACAAATAGCCAGGATTTTTTTTGCAGAACCGGATGGTTGCATCCGGACCGTTTGCTCCGTGGGCAGCCCAGAACTGGACGACGTAGCCCACCTCCCTCAAAAACTAACAGCCTTTGCCTTCAAACTTTTTGTTTTAAATGCCAGATCCTTGCTTAATAATATGCCTTTGCTTCCGACTCTGGTGTTCGTCCATTGTCCTGATATTGTTTTAGTAACTGAGACGTGGGCATCAGCCTCAGTAGCTGACTCCGAACTCTCTCTTCTAGGCTACAATTGCATCCGAAATGATCGCCAAGATAGCCGTGGTGGGGGCAGCTGCGTCTACGTTAAGAAAACACTTACATTTTTGCCGTTGGACCTCCCGCACTTTTCAGCAGTAGAAGGCAGCTGCTGGCTCCAGGTTGCACTAAAAAATAAGTTCTCCTTACTCGTTGGCTGCGTCTATCGCCCTCCCAACGCCAATGACAATTTTGATCGCTTACTCTCACAGGCATTTCATGCTGCGGCCGACTTAAGCTTTAAGTATCAATTGGTTGCGGGTGACTTTAATCTCCCTGAAGTCCGCTGGTCTCCGCCTTCAGGCCCCAGAAGGTTCGATGACTTTCTTGAGGCTGTAGATGTTGGGATGTGGAATCAGGTTGTCGATTTTCCCACCCGAGGCTCAAGTATACTTGACCTAATTTTCTGTAGAGGCTGCTTGCCATCGTCAGTGTCATCCCTAGGCCCACTCGGGGCTCAGACCATGACATAGTTGTTTCAACGTTGGAATTCGAGGCTGACGAAATGTCGTCCCAAAAGTATCACTTTTTCCGCGATTTCCGATCAACTCGCTCAACCGAATTATTAACACACCTTAATTCCTACGACTGGACTGAGTTCTTCCTTAGTCCGGATGTAAATGTTTGCACTGCAAGACTGTACGAAATATTGGATCCGCTTATTTCTCGTTTTGTCCCCCGTAAGAAAATTATTAATGTCGGGGATGAGATTTTTCTACCCTTACCCTTTCGTCGCAGATTGCGCAGACTTTATCGTCGTTTCCATCTGCAGAACGATGTTTCTGTTCTGCCCTTGATTTGTGATATTTTTGATCGAGCTAAGAGATTGTCTGAAGAAAAACAGCTAGCCGAAGAGGTCCAGTTTACCGAAAACAATTCGTTAAATGTCTCGAAACTTTTCTCTAGAAAAATACGAACTCAGAGAAAGACGCAGTATCCCATACTTCGAGACGCTCTCGGAAATCCCATAGTTGATGCCCAGTTAACCGCGGATAGCTTCAATGATTTCCTGTCCAAAACGTTTATTGAAGACTCGACCACTCCGCTTCCGACAATCCAGGCACTGACTGGGGCAGTTCTAGAAACTATAAGTTTCACTCTGTGGGATGTGACTGTTACGATTCGGCGTTTTCGTCAATCTTATAGTCCAGGCCCTGATGGTGTCCCAGTAAGCATTTTAAAAGCCGATGCAAACACGATTTTCCCATTCCTCTTATGCAAGATATTTAATCTTTTTCTTGAAAGTAAAACTTATCCTACCTTGTGGAAGGAATCACACATTTTGCCCATTCCTAAGCACGGCAAATCTACATCATTTGATGACTTTCGGCCAATAAACACCCTCCCCGCAGTTTCGAAGATCTTAGAGACATTGATCAAAGATAAGATGGTGTGTCACTTAACAGCGAATAACTTACTGAGTGTTGCTCAGCATGGATTCCTCAAAGCTCGATCTTGTGACACCTGTCAACTCTCTTTCTTTGACCATGTTCTCCAATCTAGGGACCATGGTTTTGCTCTTTACACAGTATATTTCGATTTACCTAAGGCTTTTGACCGTGTTGACCATGCTCTTCTTCTCTTGAACCTGTCCTCTTTCGGAATAGGTGGCAAACTTTTGAATTTTATATCCTCTTATTTGGGCACTCGCACACAACGAGTTAGGATTTTCAATACCATCTCCAACCCCACACGTGTGAGGAGTGGAGTCATTCAGGGTAGTATACTCGGCCCGCTTTTATTTTGCCTTTTCGTTAATGATGTACCCGATTTATTTCAGAATGGTAGACCTTTCATGTATGCCGATGATCTTAAAGTTGCATATCGATATAAGCCGGCAGATCATGACATCGTGCATGAGCTCCTAAAGAGCGATTTACAGGCTTTCGCCCAGTGGTGCCGCACATGGCGCCTTTTTCTTTCTTGGCATA